AGATCATTAATTGGAGATACAATTGTAGAGAACATTTCAATAAATCGTCTGTACCAACTACATAACCCTACAAAACGTTTAATCTCGGTTGTAGTCTTCGGACGAGGATAGTTAACCATACTGGCTATTTTATCTGGGTCGGTGCGAAGGGAATTCGAACCCACGATAAAACCTAAGAACTTTAATTCTGTTTTGAAAAATTCACACTTCTCTAAGTTGATAGTTAAATTTGCCTCTAATAATTTATCCTTAACTTCCTTTAATAAGCTTAAATGTTCTTCAAAAGTTGACCCGGTGACTATTATGTCGTCAATATATGAAAAAATTTTAGGTTCATACTTAGGACCAAAAATTGCATCAACTAATCTCTGCTGTGTCTGAGCAGCATTTGAAAGACCGAAAGGCATAGTAACAAATTGAAATTGTCCTCTTCCAACAACACTGAAAGCTGTTTTTTCCCTTGATAATGGATCTAAAGGTACTTGCCAAAATGCTTTTCTCAAATCGATTGAAGAAATATACTTTGCATCTCTAAGTGAAGCTAAAATTCTTTCTATATTCGGAAGTGGATAACTATCATGCTTGGTTATGGCATTGAGAGGTCTTCCATCAAAACAAAAACGGTATTCATTATTCTTCTTTTTGACTAATAGTACTGGCGAACAATAGGGACTGTTTGACGGCTCAATAACTCCAAGATCCAACATTTCATCGAGTTCTTTATTTAATATATTGTGCATATATGGAGATAAGACAAATGGCCTTTTTCTAAATGGTGGTGCATCACCTGTATCAATACTGAGAGTAATTTTATTGGTACGCCCTAATCTGGATTTACTATTTATAAGATCAAAAGATTTAATGACAGCTTCTGCCTGAGCTCGTTCATCAGTTGAAAGCTCATCTAACGACCATAAAGTTGGCATAACTGTTGGAACATTACTGTTCTGTACAACATCAATATTAGCTTGTCCAGATTGGATCTGCCATGAGTTATCTTTAAAATCTACACAAAGATTAAATTGCTTAGCAAAATCTACTCCAAAAATAAAAGCTTGTGGTAAGGAAGGAACAACAAGAGCATTAATGATCTGACAAAAATCTCCAATAACAATGGGTAAGTCAACAACACCTTCCACATTTTTCTGAGTACCGTCTGCTGTACTAACATGTTTATGTGAAGCGCGAATAATTTTTAAATTCAATTTTTCTAAAATATCTAAACCATCAGAGCCAACGATAGAGGCATTCGCCCCACTATCGAATAAAACAATAATATCCTGATCAATCAGCTTAAGTTTTATATAAGGACGGTTATCTAAGGGTTTAGTCACAAAGACGGGCAAAATATTTAAATTTGAATCTGAAATATTTCTTGGACTACTAATTTGTGGCTGAAGATTATTAGTACTTGATTGAGAAAAATTGGATTTAGAAGAATCAACATTTTTAGAATTAAATTTACTCTTATAATATGACAAACTACTATTTCCTCTAGTGGTGACCTGACTGGAAATGAGACTTTGCTGGTCACTATGCAAATCTCTCCTTATTAGTTTTTTGGTCTCGAACAATTTGGACAGGTTGCGGTTTTAACTTCTGCTAAACCACATTTAAAACAGAAAACTTTTCTTTTAGCTTTACAGTCCTGAAACAGGTGGTTTGCTAAATTGCAATTCCAACAAACAACATTTTTATCATTCCTCTTTACATTTGAATTGTTACTATTTTGATTAGAAATTGAAGTAGAAGGGCTATTATTAGGTCTATAATTGTTATTCTGGTTAGAAGTGGATGTTGAAGGACTGTTATTAGTTCTGAAATGATTATTATGATTGTGGTTACTATATCTGTAAGTTTTTCTAAAGTTTTTATTCTGAAAATTATTTTTAGATTCATTTCTAAAATTTGCTCTATCACTATACTGTCCAGATTGTTCAGAAATCTCGGAAACTTGGAAACTAGAAGTATTTCTATTTTTAAGATAATTTGCTTCCTCTAATTTTCTACAGTATGCAGAAAAATCTGAAATTGTACTAATATCTATCAGAGCCAACTGACTAATGAATTCAGGCAGAAGGTTTTGTCTCAAATATTTTATCTTGGTAACTTCCGCAGGAGTATGAGAAAGTCTAGAAAAAAGTGCTTCTATATGCGCAATATAAATAGCTACAGGTTCATTACGTTTTTGCTTACGCTTCTTAACTTGCTCCCATATCTCTTCATCAGCATTTGAATGCAGGAAGTCTCTTTTGAGAAGAGCAACAAGTGAGTCCCAATTCTGCACAATAGTTTTAACACTACGAAACCACACAAAGGCATCACCTTCAAAAAGCTCTACAGCTGATTCAAATAGGTTGCTTTCTGATACTTTTCGTGACTGAGCTAATTCAGTAACACGTTCCAAAAATTCATACAAAGTTCTAGAATCTCCATTAAATTTTATTCCCCAATTTGAAATAGGAACTGTATTTTTAGAACAATTAATTACTTGAGGTGCTGCACTTACTACAGGAGGAGTGACATTATTTACAATTGGTGTTTCATTAATCTTTACATAACCATGAAGATCAGCCTCTAAAGTTAAAGAAGTTGCAAAAGATTCTGACTTAAATGTTCTAAAATCATTGAGTATATTTTCAGCTACTCTCCCTTCGATAAGTAAAAATTTATCTAATCTATTGATTCTATTGGTCACATGACTCAATCTAGACTTTGTTCTTTGAAAAATATTATCATTGGGATCTCCAATATCAGCAAAATCAATAATATTGGCAGCAATCTGTGTAAAAGTTCTATTAATTTCATTCTGTTCTTTATCAAAATCAAAAGCATAATTATTTAAATCCACTGTAAAATCAGGAGTCGCTTGCTCTCTTTCCAAAAGCCTTCTTAGCATTTTGCGTTTATCCGAAACGACACGTGTAGTAGTAACCCTACGAATAGCTAGTTCATAATCCAGTTCATAATCAACCAAATGGTTGACTTTAAAATTTTCAAGATTCATATTGCCAAAATATTTTCAAAAATAAATACTGAACTTAACTACACCCTGTATAGAATTCAACTGTCTCACCCTGTACTCCAGGTTCACCCTGTATTTCAACAAAAAAAAATTGTAAGACAGTGTCAGCTTTCCAAAATATCGAAAATTTCACCAAAGAAATTATATGTTACAAATATTAATACTCAGTATTTCAATATAAACTCAATAATCAAAGTTGAATTTCAACTGAGAAATTCCAATAAGAAAATCTATATCAGATTTTAGCAAAAACTGTTTCTGGTAATTCTTTACTCAAGAAAATAAACTCAAAGTTTAAATGATTATTTAAATCAAAAATTGACCATCACTTTTGATGCCAAAAAAAAATAATGTGTATCTCAAATACAACATAAACGAACGTTGACCATCCTAGTTTGAATGTCAAAATGAAATTTCTATATCAAATATAGGTATAGCTTTAAATCAAGTAAGTGATTCCTAAAGTGAAGAATCCAACTCAAAATTAATCAAATATTGACCATCTATGTAGATGCCAAAAGAAAATTTGCATTTCAATACTGAAATCACAACTAAATGAATTTTAGAAGTCAAGATCGTCACCTTGAACTTCCTATATGAGATTAACTCTCTGCATTAAAGAAAAATAAATTTCAAAAAAAAATATTGAATATCAGCTATTGTGGCTGATTTAAATTCAACAACTAAATTCAAAATATACTGCAAAAAAGGTTGTCAGTTTAGTGAAGTTGCTGAGATTTTATTTTTTCAAATATATCCAATGAAGTAAAAAAATAACAGCAATATCCATAAACCACCAACACATAGACATATTTTAGAAGTATGTAATTTACTTCTAATAGGCACCATAAAAAGATAAACAAGAAAACAAATATGACAAAAATTTCACCATGTATCTAAGAATGTAAATATTTATTGTACTGTGAAGCAAACTTTTGAAAATGTAAAATATCTATTTCTTTTTCATTTTACTGGTTCTCCTCTTTTTAAAAAATATATTTTATCAAACAAACAAGCAATCAAGCAAGCAGGAAAGCAGGCCCAACACGTTGAGGCGCTATTTTGTGTAATGTGTTTTTGTTATCAAACAAAAAGATATAGAATATAACAAAACATATTACCATGCTAACGGCAGCTTTTCATCGGCGGCATATGGGTTGTGAGTTTATTGCTTATGAGTTATATTTTGATTGATGATATTAAGTAGATTAAATTATTGAATAAAGAAAATGACAAAGTTACAAAAAATGAATGCTACAAATTTTATTTGGACGCCACTGATTCTTTCAAGCTATGTTCTGCTTTGGATAAAAATCAGAAACCTGAAAAGTGGGAGTTGAACCGTTAGTAAAATAAAAAAAAATAAAACAGGAATTTTACCTAAGAGATTTAATATAAATGCATATATGATATCTATGTAGATATAAATGCATATATGATATGTATGTGGATATAAATGCATATATGATATGTATGTACAATAATTATTTACATGGTTTTGTTGAATGATTATCAATTTTGGAGAATTCAATGAAATGTCAATTTAAATGTTCATTATGCATAAGATCAAAAAGCCCACTTGAAACTTACCTATGTTTTCAAGCTGTTAGAAAAATAATATAGTATTAAATATACCCTGGGGAAAATTCATGAATTTTGTTGGGGGTGTAAATGTTGTTAATGAATAATATATGTACCTATGGTAACTTGTGAATGTTCAGAAGGGCTTGAACATTATCAATGTCATATAAATTATTTCATATTTAAATTATGTCATTATATTATGTAGATCCAAAATCAATTCAACATAAAAAGAAATGAACATGATACGACTGGCCTGTTAGTTAGTTATCCAACGTTGATCCACTGATCCATGGCATGGTCGAAACATAACAAAATCGGCTGCTGCAGGTGTCTTCCAAGAAGAAAAAGGTGAGAATAAAATGTGTCTATTCTTCTTATGGTGCTGATGTTACTGGGAAGTTCCCAATGGTGCTTTAGCACCTACAAGTGACCATCACGTGGTCTTTGGTCGCAACAAGGGGGCCCACACTGCTCTCTGGTAGCACAGGGGACTGATTTGATGTGCCTCTATCGAAATGGGTGTCCAAGGAATACATTATATCAAAAAACCCTATAAGAAACGAGACCTCTTGTTCAACTGAACCGAGAAACAAAAAACGTGGTGCAACTTACCTCTGGATCCAAGAGGGTTTTCCAGACAAATCAACGATAATATAGTGCCGTTACTTGGAAACATCTTTATGGCTAAAATTAACGATGCCCACCGCATCCTTCAACAGGAAAATAAACTCTAAAAGAGTTTAATGAATCGTGGCAAAGCACGAAGCACGAAGCACGACCTCTCTACTCGCCCAGTGCCAAGATGGAGATGACGGAAACGAGCTTTCCGGAAATATTCCAGACAAGATATCCCCACTCAAGCAATATTCAACGAGACCACTCGAGACAGCAGGTGACTATGTAGTCAGGTGAAAGTGAAACGACACGAACTTACACGAACTTTCTGTAAGCAATCAACAGCAACCAATTAAACATTAGAAGAAGAAGAAAGTTGTTTACAGATTACACAGAAGATGAAGAATTCGATTGACGTTTATCATCAAAGTATTTTTCTAACCACACATTCCAAGAAGATAAACATTGGATGAACTTTGAAAAATAAAAAATAAAAATTATTATTATTTTGATAATAACTACCCACACATATATGGACGGACTCTATATACATGACAGGTAAGCTCAATACATTTTCTAAGAAAACTGTATCTCATCTGAGTATCATATGGTTGATAAAAGAAGGTCTAACACTGTCTTTCAACTTCTTTCAGGTTTGAAAAGGAGCTGTAAATAATTTTTCCTACGACTACTACTGTAAGTGATGGATATTGTACACAAAACAATGGCAGTAAGCTTCTCCTTACACACGTGTGCGTAAAGAGAGCGATCGCACGGTTTTCATAGGTATGTTGATAGATGACTTTGTTTTGTTGCTTAGGCGATGTGTCGATAACAATTAACGATTTCATTAATGTCACTTGCTAGGTGGGTAGGATGTTGGAAAAAGCTAAAATGGTAAAAAATTAGTTGCTACCAGCTAAGTCTCGTGAATAATACGAAATAGCACATCAAAAATTCCTGGACTGGAGAATTAGAAATAATACCGTGTCATTTTCGGAAAAATCCTTTTAGTATATTTTCAAGAATAATCAAATTCGATGAAATCATCATCACTCTGGTCGATATATTCCATGTTACGATCAACACTAAATATCAATCACAATACTAATATAGCAACATATTATCCCATATTCTCAAAAGGGAAGGATGGATTCCGAAGTAAAATATCAAAAATACTCAATGCTGAACAGATCAATTATTTTCTGCAGAATGCTCCTGTTGAAGGTAATGTTTCTAATAACATACATACTCAACATTGAATTGATGAATTCCTTTTTCTTTAAGTAACAGCAATAATTAAAAAAGATCAATCTTCGAAATTATATTAATAAAATATCTACTAATACGGAGAAATGGTGGTAGCTCAGTTGTTGGAAGCGCTGGCTCCGAAACCAGAGGTCGGTGGATCAGAGCGCAGTTGGGAGAACTTTTTTTTATTATTTTTAATAACGATTACAGAATCTCTCGTGCTGCACTGTTACAAATATATAACCATTATGAATAATAATTTTATATTTTTAAACAATGTGTTTTTTGCTACCTATTTAAAGCTGTTTAGATTTGAAAAACGGCTCCATTTCAGTTCGAATTGAGGAAAATGTCTCGGTATGCAACGTATCAATAAACAAACACAAGAATTGTGATATGTAACTTTTCATGCATCTGGCTTAGTGACGGGAGACGTTTCATATTGGTATTCGTTATTTGTGCCTTAGTACAATATCTGCACTATATCCGGAAGAAAATATAGTGTAGTCGTAGAAAAAGTATAGTACAATTCTCGAGTTGTAAAGCAATTACGCACTTGTGGAGTTACACACTCGCCGCTATGCGGCATCGTGTGTAACTCTCTCCACTTCGTGCGTAATATGCGTTTTACAACTCTTGTTATGTAATATACTAATGAAAACACTGGAAACTGTCATAAAGATATAAAGCAAGAGGTGCTTGTAGATTGTGTTGCCAAGGAAACATTGTGAAATATTTCATGACAGCTGTAATAAACAATAACTGACTGGTAAGTTTGTTTTCATTGTACTTAGATTATCATAAGTGTATCATTATAAAATATAATATTAGGTATTTTAATATAACCTTTTCTTTGTTACAGATTCTACTGGTGAGGTGTTACAGCAGAATACAGGGAGAGACAGTGGACATACAAGGTGGTGTTACAATATTTATACCATATGAACTCTGTGGAACTAAATTCCAAATAAAGGTAGGAAAACTATAATAGTGTTTGTTTTATTATAGCACAAACGAGTAACGTTTAGGTGAGCTTACTTGTTAGGAAAATAAAAACGTTACACCGACCTGTACGAGACGCTAAACAACTTGCAGAGGAACGGTGTTAATTCTGGTGAACATTTTTTAAGGATAATGGGTGGAACTCCATCAGGACCGTTAGCCCTATTCGTTTTGAGACCAAGCAAAATTCGTCTGATAGTGCGTTGACGGAAGACGATTTCGGGCATTCGACTCTCAACGGGTGGAATGTCTGGCGGCACTTTTCCTTGGGAATCTGAAGTTGAGTTTGCTTCGAACATCTCTGCAAAAATATTTGCTTTCTCCTGCGATGTTGTTGGTGATGTGCCGTCGGATTTGGACAGTGGACAGTATCATATTGTAATCGTTTGCCTATAATTCAGCCGGCACTGGGCCAATAGTGTCAATTCGTATTATGTTTTTACGTACGTCATACAATCGTCTACCCGTTATATGGCATATTGAAATATAAATTAGCCGGCACCGTGCCAAATAGAATATGATTATATTTCAGTTTCGATTGTGAAATAGTATTTTCAAGACGGCGGAATAGCGCTGTGGTGTAAAAATGTTGAATTTTTTCGAATGGAACACCCTATATTTCACTGCTGAAGTATGTTTCGCTGATTTCGATAATATATAATTTTCATACATTCCATAGAGTAATAGTGGGTGGACCAAAGGAATAAAGCTTGAGATTAATTGAAATTTTTGCCATGAAGTCATCTAATTCAACTCAATTTGAGCTGAAACCAGGAGATTATTGAAAATATCAGTTGTCAGTTGACCTGACAGCAAACTTGAATTTAATTAGATAATTTTACGACCGAAATGTCAATCGATTGCAAGTTATATTCCTTCGATTCACCAAGTATTACTCAATGGAATGTTCGAAATTTATAAAGATTCACTCTTTCAAAATATGTAATGGAATATAGGGTGTGCCATTTGAAAAAATGGAAAATTTTCACACTCCTCTCGTATAAAGAATAACGAAATAATGTTTGGAGGGCACCGTTCGAAAAAGAAGAACATTTGATTTAAGATTTTCTTTTGAAGTTGCCAATATCTTATTAAGTTTTCAAGATATTGATAGTTGAAATCGTGAAATCCATAGTCAATCATTAGTTATTTCGAAATTACCTCATATTTCATTATAAAAGAGCAATTTCGAAGATATTCACATTAGAAAATGATAGAATTCCACCGTGTATGCTTGTATTATGTGGAAACAACGCAGTTTTAGTTGAATTTGTTTGATAATATGTCCAGGGTGTTTCTAAAATCATATGGAGAATTTCCTGTAACTTTAAAGTCACCTCCTTCCATCATTTAAAATAACGTTAGTTCTCAATGGATTACCCTGAATCTGTTCCATTTGAATGTCAGTAGATATTGAATCAAAAGTTAAGATAGGGACATGTTAGCCGTTTTCACCAATAATGCATGAATAGTTTCGACACAAAAAAATCCTAAATTTGAAAAATCTCCATTTTGAACACCCTACATTTTTGTATTCATTCCCGCTGGACCCCAATTGTGATACATTGATGAAAGCAGATCTTCAGGATGAATAGAAAAATGCAATAATATACAGGGTGTTCTATTCGAAAACTTGAAGTTGATGTCACTGCTGGTTCAACCGAAAGTGCCTCCATCTTGAAATTGTTTTAGCCAAATTGTCCCAATTGACAGTAGTATGCCACCAAATTTTCGAATACCTCTATAATGATTGAATTAGTTCCCGGTTGGACACCCTGTATATATATATAAAGGTACTGAAACCTGTGGGTATAGAGTTGGGATTTTCAGAATGAAATATCCTTTTTATTTTTCGATGGAATTTATTTATATCAATGCTCCACATTCCGTATCATGATCATATTCCGTTTGAACCTTCATTTAGTTGAATTATATTTTCAGGATTTCCAGCAATCCAATAATTATAATTTCGGATTTCCTAAACTTTCTGGAGTAGAAAATCAAGAACAGGAAACTCCAATTGTACATAGGGGAAACATTTTTGATGATCTTATCAAAGCATTCGAAGATGATTTTTTTCTCAGAGGAAATTCAAAATTAGAGTTGATTCTTTTCACAGGCGAAAAAGAATCAGCTGAAGATTTCGGTGGGGTATGGAGGGATGTTCTTTCCGAATTTTGGCAGACATTTTACGAAAAATGTACAATTGAAACTATCATGGAAGTTCCTTCTATTAGGCATGATTTTGGTGAATTGCAGTGGAAAGCTATTGCAAAAATTTTTTTAAACCGATTTATATTAGAGAAATATCTCCCCATTGAAATAGCTCCAGTTTTTCTCAAAACGTGTTTCAATCTGAATGTCAATGATGAAGATCTGATTGATGAATTCTTCAATTATATTTGTGAAACAGATCGACATGTTTTTGAGCAAGCTCAAGAAAATTTTTATGAAGTTGATTTAGATGAATTAGTTGAAATTTTCTGTACGTTTGAATCTAAATGGAATCCGAACAAGGACAATTTCAAGCTTTTACGAAATATAGCACACAAAGAACCAATTCAAAAACCAGCTTATGTTGTGGAATGCTTTCAGAAAGAATAGGAGTTTAAAATCACCAATCATGAAGGAATACTGGAGCTATACGAAAAAATCAAACCCTCCACTAAAAATTGTCTTAAAAAAATAGAACTCGAGAATTCAAATATTACTAATGAACAAGATATTGTTTTCAATCATTCAAAAAAATACATAAAAGAAGCTGACGATACGATAAGAGAAGCTTTTTCAGATCCTCTACCGGCTCAAACTAACCAGTTATGAGTATAAAAGTAGCTCTGGTAGAAGCAACTGGAATCAACCGACTACTCATTCCACATATGGGAATTTCATCATTTCACGAGGCGACTGAAATTCTATTTTGAATTAAAATATTTGGATAATGGATTTAGTGCAATCCTTGGCGGATTGAAATCATCTTCCTTCAGGGCACCTGATGACACCAGTCAGATTTTTTGGCATATTATGTCCTCAGAGATAACCCTCTTTCCACGAATGAGTTGTTTTCATTTTCTTGATTATATTCGAGTTTGGCGTTTGAAACCCACTATGAATTTGTCTAGTGAGGGCAATAAGAGTAACACGTAAATTCTAGCTAGACAGATTAGGAAATTGAATTGGGATTATATAGGATTCACAATAATAGGTTTGAATACAATTTAGTCGAGCTAGTGAACCAATACATACACGTGTTGTATAATTAAGTTTCAAATTAGACCACTGTAGCATGTTTCTCCTTCCGACTGTTTCACCCATTTATTTTTACCAAAGATTAGATTAGATTCTGCCTGCACACTGCGACCTTTTCAGATCTATTGTGTCTGCCCTCAAAATCGATTAGAGTTCTTCGGCTAGCCCCGCCTTCTCTATGAGACTCCATATTCTACCAAAGATAGCAGCTTACATAATATGCAGTTTTAGTCACAATATTCAAATTTGTGAATGTGAGGTGAAGCCAACGATTGAAACGAAGAGAGAGGAGAATACATTTCACAATGGTCCAGTTTGTAACGTGAAAATTGTCTTTCCTCGAATTTTCAGTTCCATCTTTATAATCCACATATAAAAGCATCGAGACACTGTATCTGAAATTCTTTATTGATATTCCATATTTACATGACACTAGAAAATATTGATGTCCCCTCAGTTGATCAGACTTCTACGACCTGAAAATACAAGTTAATATAACAATTTGATCAAATAACAATTAGAAAGTACTCACCTGGTTCAGGATGTTCTTTCAATCTGGGTGTGATTTTTGTGCTTCAGGGATTTCTTCCAAGACCTTGACTTTGATGAGTGTCTGGCCTCTGTGCATTATTTAGGTGGTATATTTTCCTTTTCTACCATATTTGATGGTCCAGCATTGGAAGCTACCAATTGCTTATTTTTTGATTGATGGATTAAATGGAGATGAAAAAGCAAATCTTCTAAATCAATGTCTGGAGTTCGTTCATGAAACTGGTGTGGAGGTACCTTCTGTCACTTTTGATGGAGCCCCTGCTATGGCACGGAAGTAAGGTGCTGATCTGTCACCATCCTCTACCAAAACATCCTTTATGCATCCTGTGAGCAATGATAAAGTTTATGTCTTCTTAGATCCTAGCCACATGATTAAATTGGTGAGAAATTGTTTTGGTAGCCAAAAAATCATAGAAGATGGGGATGGAAACCAAGTTTGCTGGGAATATATGGATAAGTTATGCAACATTCAGGAAACTCAGGGGTTACATGTTGCTACAAAGCTGAGGAAGAAACACTTGTTATGGACAAGAGAGGTGATGAAGGTGAAATTGGCGGTTCAAACACTGAGTAAGAGTGTGGCAGAGGCTTTAGATTTTTTGAATTTTGATTCAAAAATTAGTGAGTTTGAAGGGTCTGAAAGCACTGCACTATTTTGTAGGATTTTCAACAATTTGTTCGATATATTCAATTCCAGAAGTGTTTTAACTTCAAAACCTTTTGAGAAACCTATTTCACCTGCTACACAAATCAAGTATTTTGAGTTCTTGGATATGGCACTTGAATATATATCAAAATTGAAAATTCCTGGAAAGCTTATTTCAGGAAGCAATAAAAAAACTGTTTTTTTAGGTTTAATTATCTGTATCAAGAGTTTAAAAGGTTTGTATTTTGATCAGACTGTAACCAAACAAAATTTAAAATACTTATCAACGTACAAGTTATCTCGAGATCACTTGGAAATATTTTTTAGTTGTATCAGGAATAGAAGTGGCTTCAATAACAATCCCAGTGCTAGATAATTCATTTACACCATGAAACGTCTGATCATCCATACCGAAATTAGAGGATCTCAAAATGCTAATGCAGTATCATTAGATTCTACTTCGATTCTCCACTGTACAAGTGGTTCTTTGGTGAAAAACACACAAGGTGCTGAAGAAATCAGTGATATAGAAGCCTTTATTGTGAGTGAGGGCTATATCACATCAAACGCTTGGAATTTAACCACATACGTGGAGGAAATCGTGAAGTACACTTCAGGTTTTGTAGTAAAAAAACTGAAACATACCATAATGTGTAGCGATTGCATAGCCATTTTGAAAGACCAAAAGACTCAGTCCAAATTACAATGAAGAAAGGCAGATGGCAAAATGATAAATGCTTCAAAATTCGTTATAAATGTGTGTATTCGAGGAGAGAAAACATTGAGAGTAATGAAAAGTCAGTACAATTTGTTATCGAATAATTATAAGATTGTTAATATATCAATCAATCAATCAATCAATCAATCAATCAATAATATGCTTTATTGTCCAAGAATAATTTCTTATTGACAAAGTGAGGAAATACATAGTATACATATACTTGAAGAAACCATGATATAAAATATATTATGAATTTCGTTTTCACACTCAAAATAAATAAATAAATAATGAGATATGTCACAATAAAATAGTAGAAAACAATAACAATGTATAAGTGAACAAAATAACACTAAGGTAAATTAAATAATAACAGAACAATGTATGCGTGAACAGAACAAGGTAGACATGCATATATGATAATAAAAGTATAAGACTAGAATCGGGAGTTACCTCGTACTCTTAGTTAGTAGACCTATCATCAAAAAATTCTTGAATTATTATTGAGAACCATGAAGGATTTACCCCAAAACATATTTGATGATTTTGGTAACCATTTTCATAATGAGGAACCTTTGTCTAATCATGGTTATGCCCTCGCCAAGTCAATACTCAGTTTTTTTTCCAAAATTAGAATTTTTCATGAAATTTCTCTGAGGACGAATAATAAAGAACAAAGAGTGAGGTCTCTTTTGACTAAAACAATTTTATTTAAGAATCAGTGAAATTCTTAAATGTACCTACTTTTCAATATATCAAATACAATTAATTTGTGTGTAGTCAAACAAAAACCTAATATTTGAATATTCTCGAATTTCTCAATTAAGCATACTGTCTTGAAATTATAAATTCAAATAGATGAGACATCTTATTTATTTTTTCACTTCTAGAAGTTAAAATTGAAGTCTCCTGAAATTCAATTGGTATCTTGTTGAACCATCCTTTAGGTGTATGTGTATATACTGTATATCATTTTTCAATTATTTTTATTATTTCTTCAATCATCTTGTATATTATTAGCCCGATTCGCTAATTCAGAGCATGAAGTATATTTCTACCAAGTTTCATCCACATATGTGAAGTTTGAGGCCTGTATTATAATTTTTTCAATTACCCTGTATATAATTTGTTTTTAAAAAATATGAGACCACCTCTGGATCTTCAAACTTTGAATCATCAAAATCAGCCAAGCCGTCTTCGAGTAATTGGTGTACATAGGTCTCTGTATCTTAGGTCTCACTTTATTTTCATATTTATGAATTGATGTATATTAGCTGAGTGTGCCTACCTTTTCTATAGGAAATTAAACAAATTCATTATTAACTATATTATATATTTATAGCGGGCATTACCATAAACAAACACTAGTGTTTTATGGAGCTTCAGTTGATTTTTACCTATAATAATTGCCTATATTACTATTTGTTATGTGTAAGTACTTTCAACTGAGAATTAAAAAATCTGTATTGTCGATGTGTTTGGATTCATTCAGTAATAAATTACTCTACCCTTTTATGCACTTATTTCTTTGTACTAACCAGTACTGGGATTGAAATATAAATCATTGTTTTTTATTAAACCATATTAATAAGGGGATTTCAGATTTGAACACCTTAATTAATATATCCCTACATTATGTGTTTCAAATTCCCATGTGAAAATGAAATATAAACGTAGTTTGCCAGAAAATTTAAGTTTGGGTTCGAATTTAGAAAAAAATTGTTTAATGTGAAGAATAATATCATTTGTCAATGTTTTGACCCCTTGAGAAAAGGCCGGCACTGGATCTTCGTTGTTTTGTTTTGGTCGAATCGTCGTGAACGTAAAATAAACACAGTTATGTTTGATTCACAACAAAGCAGCTATGGGCCAATCTAGGGTCTTTTGTTGATCTGAGAGTAATTTCAATGATTATTGTTTTGTTTACTATTGTTGAGCTGTCATTGAAATATAGGAATTTTATTAGACGTTTTCATCAAGTTGATTGCCAATTGTCAAGTGATGAGGGCAAGGGTACCTGCACCTGACCTACACCTAACCTGCACGTGATCAACGCCGAACCTGCAGCGAACATTTGGACGGTAAAGTGGATTACTGCAGCCAGGATAGTTTCATGACTTTCAGGGTACTGGCGCTAGTCATTAATTTGAAAGGCGAAGAGCAATGTTCCGTGTATTTGTCAAGGTCGTGTCGCATCTGTTCATTCTGGCCCTGTGGAATCCTAGTCGGAAGAAGTCGGGGATGATCGTTTGTTTCGTAGCTGTCATTTCATTCTGGGCGAATCACAAGTCAGTATTTTAGTCACATGTAGGGCGCTTAAAGCCATCCTGTATTTCCTCTAGTGCGCAGAGTTTGCATATGAGTTGTATCCTGTTTTTTATTATTAGTTTGTGGGATGTAGAGTTCTGTAAAGGCGCAGGAGGCTATCCCTCCCAAAGT